ATTTATTTCGAGATGAACGATTCAACTGTATTGTTCTCATTCCATTCACTATATAAAATGAATGTGATCATTTATGTGTAGGTGCAGGTAGCTAACTCAAATAAGTCTACGCAATGTACTAAGCTATAAACTGAGAACTGGTCGGAAATAACCTCATAAAGGCACTTCTTCGCCGTAGCTTCAAACTTCAAGCCAGCCGGACAAACCATCCTATAGACTTTTTCGGCGACACACGCCACGAACTCGGTTGAGCATCCGAGAGCGTACATTCCATCTGGACGACCAACACATGATATTTCTGAAATCGAAATGACTACTATACATTCAAGTTTCATCAATCCATATGAGTTGTCAATCAAAGAGGGAAACGACCGATCACTAGTCTCACCAGTAGGCAGGCTTGGCTCATCAGAGTTAACGATCACATCAGTCATCGTAAGCATTGGATGTTCTGTGGTTACCTCATCATTTCCAGGCTCGGGCAGATCGCCTGTTGCAGGATTCATGCATTCTTGTATTTTGGCCTTAAACGTGTGAATAAGGTAGCAACAATGCGATTTTTAATTTCTGAAATAACGCGAACACAATCATCGAAAGCTTTTCCCTTCAATAATTGCTACAATCAGAAATTTCCATCAAAATATCATCAGTGCATTCGTTAGCAGCAAGCGACAACCTTCACACGACACATCTCGAATTGCGCATCGTAGAACAGACGTCCAGGACACTTAACGCTCGTCTCAATGCCAGCTGCGCAGAGAGCGAATGTTTTTGAGCATCCCTGAGAGTAGATACCATCCGGAAGACCGTGGCATGAGAATGTAGAATCTGAAAATTAAACAATCATTTGTGGGGAACACATGCATGGAGATTGTGGATGATATATCGTGAATGAAAGAATCTCTTAGTGAAAAATTCATCTTAATCCACCTCCTGATGGTGCTGTTGTTGGAATGGTTTCGGTGATCGTGTCGGAAGCAATCACATTGTCATCAGTAACATTCGCAACTATTTCGGGTGCCAACGTAGTCTCTAATGGAGTTTCTTTCGTGGGCTCCACCTCGTTACAGTCAAGGACTTTGTCCTGCAAACGTGAACACTTTTGCTTAAATTCTAACGCTGACGCATAAATAACCAAATATCTCGTGATATGTTAAGTATATTCTGTTAGTTTACATCCGAGTTATGGAATCCAAGACGTTGAATTCAATCACTTGATCAAAATGCTCACCTTCCATTGGCATACTTTCAAGTGAGGATCAAAAATGAGGTTTGCAGGGCAGTGCATTGGAATCGAACGGCCATGAGAACAAGCGATAAACACTGAAGAGCAATGCTGAGCGTAGATCCCATCAGGGAGACTATGGCAAGAAAACTCTGAAAACGGATCAACTCAATCAATGAACCTATAAATCAACTGATCGTGAGTCGAATCGATCAAACTTCCGTGCTCGCTCTCGCAAAAACTCCACAAATTGCATTTTATTGTGACGAATCAAACCTGTTATTCTGTCATCCCACTTCGCACGTCATTTATGATACCGCTACAACAAAAGCGATAATTAAAGTAGCTGATGCTCACCAGGTAATGGTGTTGGCTGTGGGGTTGACGAGGCTGTTGTCTCCTCCTGCGCTACTTCAGTCGTTGTCTCTGTGACAGGTAATGACGTGGCATGACCACCGCAGACCTCCACGTCTTTCTTAAATAGGCGTACATTGATCAGTTATGAGAAGTTTTTGCTCTAAAGAATGATTGGATTCGTTTTGTGCTGGGCTGTCGCGTCTGGATGCAGCAAGTAATGTTGGCAATGCAGATAGTA